AGGCGCCCAGGTTTTGGGCCTGGGCAGTTGGGTGCCTTCTCTGGGCTCTCAGAAGGGTAAATGAAGGGGCAGAAGCTGGAGACAGGTGCCCCGAGGTGGGGTGGGGAGCTCCTCCAAGCCACCAGAGGAATTGTCTGTGGGTCTATGTGGTCCTCTGCTGCCCCCTGCTGGCTCTGCATTGACACGGGTCCTGCCTGCAAGTCTGGCAGAAAGGACAGACCCAATCAACTTCAATCCCAACCAGTGATAAAAGATGACATTTCTGGGGCGACCATGCGGCAGGGTGCACCCGTGTTCACTGTCCGCCCCCCCGCCGCCGTGCCCCTGGGTCTTCAGCTGCCTTCTCCAGCACACCGAAACCAATTCAAAACTGACCTCCCAAACCTGCACTGTTCCTTCCCTCCTTCCCTCCCTCCCTCCCTTCCTTCTCTTTCTTGGTTTTATTGAGATATAATTCACATACCAGACCATTCACCCATTTAAAGTGTACAGTTCGGTGTTTTTAATATGTTCATAGGGTTGTGCAACCATCTGCATGATCAATTTTAGAACATTCCCATCACCCCCAAAAGAAACCCTGTACTCCCCATCCTCCGCCCCTCCCCCCCAGCCCCATGTCCCCGTCCCTCCAGCTGCTGGCAACCACTCAGCTGCTTCCTGTCTCTATGGATTTGGCTATTCTGGACATTTCCCATCAATGAAATCAGACAATATGTAACTTTCTGTGTCTCGCTGCTTTCACTCAGCATCATGTTCTTTTTTTTTTTTTAAAGATTTTATTTATTTATTTGACAGAGAGAGATCACAAATAGGCAGAGAGGCAGGCAGAGAGGGGGGTGGGGAAGTAGGCTCCCTGCTGAGCAGAGAGCCCAATGCGATGCGGGGCTCAGGGCTCCATGCGGGGCTCAATGCGGGGCTCCATCCCAGGACCCTGGGATCATGACCTGAGCTGAAGGCAGAGGCTTTATCCCACTGAGCCACCCAGGCGCCCCTCTTTTTTTTTTTTTAAGGTTTTATTTATTTATTTGACAGAAAGATCACAAGTAGGCAGAGAGGCAGGAAGAGAGAGGAGGAAGCAGCCCCCCCCCCCCAGCAGAGAGCCAGATGCGGGGCTCGATCCCAAGACCCTGGGATCATGACCTGAGCTGAAGGCAGAGGCTTTAACCCACTGAGCCACCCAGGTGCCCCTCAGCATCACGTTCTTAAGGTTCATCCATGTTGTGCCATGGCTCAGTACTTAGGTCCTTATTTTTGGCTGATTATATCACCTTGTCTGGGTACACCTTGTTTTGTTTCCCCATTCATCCACAGATGGACATTTGGTTGTTTTCACTTTCTGGCTATTAGGAGCAGTGCTGTGAACATTTGCCTACCGAGTTTTCGCATGGACACGTTTTCCCTCCTTGCATACCTGGCCCTCTTGCACTGTGAATGCCGCCACTGTCCCTGCTTCTGGTCAGCAAGCCAGATACGGGGCGAGGGGGTGGTCCCCCACTCCAGCTCCCCCCTCCCCTGGCTTTCCCAGCACCTGCTCATTCTCCTCCATAACATCACTCCCCTGGAAATTATGTCTGATGCCATTTGTGACAGTTTTCTGAGGGCAGGGATCTCTGATTTGTCCTCGGCTATCTCCTCAGAGCCTACACCAACTGCACACAGCAGGCGATCAATAAATGTTTGTTGAGCTAATGAGCGAACACGTTTGTGACACACCCTTCTCCCTCATCCCCGATATCCAACCCAGGACCAGATCCTGTCAATGCTTTGTTCTAAACATCTTTTGTCTCTGTGCATTTCTTCCCCCGCCATGCCCGCCACCCTAGTCCAGCACCTGCTGAATGAATGAATGAGTCATTGAAGAGGTGGAGGACAGCAGGTCCTCCTGGGAAGTTCTCTCAGGGAGACGTGGAGGTTGAGAACGTGGACTCTGGTGTGCATTATGGTAGCATATTGATTAGGCTGTTCATACATATTGGTTTTCCCTATTCTTTTTTTTTTTTTAAGATTTTATTTATTTATTTGAGAGCGAGAGAGAGCACAAGCAGGGGGAAGGGCAGATGGAGAGGGAGAAGCAGACTCTCTGCTGAGCAAGAAGCCCAATGCGGGACTCGATCTCAGCACCCCGAGAGCATGACCTGAGCTGAAGGCAGACGCGTAACTGACTGAGCCCCCCAGGAGCCCCCGTTTCACCTATTCTGCATACATGGGAACATTGCCCCTGCCCAGCACTCTTGACATTGGATTGTATCACGTGCCTTCCTTGGCCAAGGAGATGTGAGTGGGACTGTCACTTCTGGGTGAAGGCCTTTAAAAGCCTGCATGTTTTGCCATGTCCCCTCCCTTTTTAAAGGTCCTATCTCCAAATATAGTAACAGTAAGGGCTATGGCTTCAACAGACACATTTTCGGGGGATGCAATCCAGCCCACGTCAGGGTTGATACTAAGTGAGCAATCAGTTTACTCTTGAAAAAGAGAGTTTACTCTTGAAAAAATACCGTGGTCTTGAAGGTGGGGGTTGTATGAATCAAGATTTAGAAGGAGGTGGTTGCAAAGAATCCCAAAGTAATTTAGTAGCTTGAATGAGAGAGGAGTCTTTCTTTCTCAGGTAACTTATCTAACCTGGCATGGTGGCTCTGTCCTGGTTGCTGTCCTTGCCCCAGCTCTCTCTAACCCGGATCTGTGCGCCCCTGTCCATGCGATCCCAGATGGCTCTCACCACCACATCATTAAGCTCTGGGAAGGGGGAATGCTTTCCCTTTAACCGTGGACTTGAGGACTGAGTGTGGCCCTCACTTCTGCTCGCATCCCATTGGCTGGGAGTTAGTCACATGGCTACATTGAGCTGCAGGGTAATCTGGGAAATGTAGTTTTTATGCTCAGTTGGCATACACTTGGTTCAAAACCCTATTACTGAGGAAAAAGAGAGAACAGATACTGGGGTTTGATGAGGGGTTGCTGGACAAGAGGAGAGGTAAGCAGGCACAGGATCCCCCCATACTCTGTGCCCAGGCGGCCTGTGCTGGGACTGACACTGACCATGACTTGACCTGGCTGACCTTCTCAGACGCAGCAGATCAGGGGCCCAAGATATCAGGGTGTCCGGAGAGGTCTCGGGTTGGAGAAATTCCTACAGGGAGTATTTGCGTGTCGAGTCAGCAGGAGATGCAACTTCCCTTCCTGTGAATTTTTCCTCATCCTCTATATTAATTTCTGGTGGCTGCTGTAACCATTTGCTACAAGTGTGTAGTGACTTAAGACAATAGGAATTTATTCGCTTACAGTTCGGAAGGTCAGGAGTCTGAAATGGGTCTCACTGGGCCAAAACCAAGGTGTCGGCGGGGAGCGGGGATTGCTTTCTGGAGGTTCTAGGGGAGAATCTGTGTTCTTGCCCTTTCCAGCTTTTGGCTTTGCTGTGGCCTCTTTCTGTCTTCAACACCAGCAAGAGCTGATGAAATCTTTCTCCCATCACATGGCTCTGACTCTGTGTGGCCTTGGCTTTGGGGCCCTTCCTCCATCTTGAGAGTCCAGTGTCACTCCAATCTCTGCCTCCTTACTTACAGCTCCTCCTCTGACTCTCTCTCCCCCGGTCCCTTTCACAAAGACCCTTGTGATTATATTTTGGGCCCAGCGGGGTCATCCAGGATAATCTCCCCATCTCAAGATCCTTCACCCAATCACGCCTGCCTAGTCCCTTTGGCCGCCTAAGGTAACATTCACAGAGCATTAGCACAGAGGCAACCGTATTCAGCCTGGCATAGTCTTGTTTTTCAGCTCCCAGAGCAAAAGTGACTGTCTGCTCTACCTTATGTGGGGGGATTTTTATCCCCTGCCCTGTCAGCTGCTCCTCATCTCCCTGACCTCGCCTCCCACCCTTTCCTCCTTCCTTCCTCTGCTCCCACCACCCTGGCCTCTTTGCTGCTCCCTGACTCCCCCCTCACTGGAAGGCATACTCCCACCTCAGGGCCTTTGCACTTGCTGTATCTGCTGCCTGGAATGCTCTCCCTTCAGATCCCTACATGGCTTCTTCTTCCTCCTCCTAACTTTAGGTCTTTGCTCATGGTCACCTTCTCTGCGAGGCCTTCTCTGCCCTTCCTATTTAAAATCACAGTCCATCCGTGCTCCCAATCCCCTTCTCTCTTCATTCCCCTCCTCCTCTTATCACCATCCAGCACACCACGTATGTTAGTTACTCTGATTGCTGACTCTCGCCTCCGCTGCAGTCTGTTTTGTTTCCTCCCAAAGCTGCAGGATCCAGAACCATGCATAGCACATGGCTTATTTATTGCTGAATAAATGAATAAATTAAGGGTGACAGATTGGGCCCACATTTGGGACTGGGTGGAGGTTGGGCGGGGGTAGGAAAGGGATCTGCTGCCCTGAGGGCCTTGGTACGATTCTGGATCAGGAGCAACAGGCAGAAATTGGTCACAGGTTCTGAGAGACCGAATCTTGAGCAGGGAAGGGGTCTGATAGCTGTGCTCACTGGCCAGGACTGTTGTCGGGGGCCTCCCATGTCATGCACCTTATCCTTTGGGGCCTGTGTGGTAGGGAGCTGCCTTGTCCCTAGGGGAAGGGCTCCAAGGAAAAACAGGGAGCAGGGGTGGGGCATTGTGGGCTGACAGTTAGAAGTCCAGCGAGTAGGAGCCTGTGAGTATGGCTTGAAGCAGGCCTTTCCTCACACCCAAATATCCAGTGCGTGTCTGGGGGTACTTTGGGTTAGGAGAAGGCAAGAGCCTGCCTTTCCCAGGCTCGAGGCCCAGGCCAGCTTGCTGGACAGACCAGACTTGAGGGTGGATTATATACTCAGAGGGTCAGAGAGGTGCTGGGCCCATCACAATCTCTTGGCCCCGGCCCAGTGCTGTGCTGAGTCTTCATTTAAGGCCACCTTATTGGCCCCCCGCTGTGCTGGTCCTGTGGGGTCTCTGGTGTGGCTTCTCTGGGTGCACCAGGCCCCCAGGGGAGGGCTGAGTCTTTTGCTCTTCCAAGGGCCTGGGACCTCTTCAGGGGGTTGGCACGAGCTGGCAGTAAGGGGCAGGGTCGGGGTTCAGCAGGTCCTGGGGGGGAAGGGGAAGAGAGGGATTGTGGATGGGGTAGGGGGAGAACACACCTGGAGAGAATGGTGGAAGGAGAGAGGCGCGTAGAGGCGGGAGATATCAGGCACCAGGAGGGCCAGAGAAATGGGTGGACACAGAGCAACAGGGATGGGGAGACAGGAGGGACAGGAGCACAGAGAGGGAGAGAAGGACAGAGACATCAAGAAACAAAGATGGGTAAAGAGATAGATAGAGAAAGAAAAAAGGATGTAGGGAACCAAAGAATGACAGCAGGAGGCACCCTGAGAGGTGTAGAGAAATAAGGAGACATGTAGACAGGCACATGGACACAGAGATCCATGGGCAGATCACAGAGAGGGGCTGGGACCTGTGGCCTTCAAATCCTTCTAAGAAGGAGGAAGTTACAATCCCGGAGGGGAGAAACTGTGCTGTGCTTCCTGGGGGAGCTACAGACCCTGAGACGGTCAGTGGTGGACGGTCAGTGAGGACAGCCCTGTCCCTCTCCCGCCCCAACCTGCCCCTGGTCAGGATCTCTCCCACGTCCCAGCTCCACACCTGGTAGGGGTGGTTGTCTGGATCCGGCTGCTGCTGGGGCAGGGGCTACAAGGGAAGAACACGGGTGAGCCAGGCCCCCAGCACCCTGACACGCTCCCACCTTTGACCTTTGCTGTGAGGACAGACCTGGCTTCCAAGTCCCCATTGCCCCTTCCTGACTCCACGGGTGGTGTGGGCGGTGTTCTGACAATGACCCCCATAATGCGCTTAGCCTCCCACGCATGCCTGTGATTCTAAGCTTTTCATCTCAGCTTTTGGAATTTCTCCTCTTACTCATTTGAGTTCTTCTTCTTATCATCCCTTCCCACCTGATTATAAAGGGAGTATCTGCTCAGTGTGGAAACTACAGACAAAGGGAAGAGGGAAAAGAAAGCACCCCTGTGCGTGCCCCCCCCCCGACAACCTCCATGCCCCAGAGACTAATGCTCCTTATGTTGTGTCCTTCCAGACTCTTTTCCTGGTGGTTTTAAAATAGGGAGCATCCCAGGGTGAGTTGTGTTCCTACAGTGTGGGACAAGGTGACGGGCACCACAGGGGGTGGGACTCACCATGGAGGTGTTTGTGGATCCCGTGTCACTGGGGGGAGACACCAGGAAGGTTGGAGATGACATCACTTCATAGATGTTCTGGTCTCCTGAAGCAGAGGACAAGGGAGGAGCTGGCTGACACACAGCCCGCAGGCCCATGCTGGCTGCTGTCAGTGGCTGCTGTCATTTGTTCATCTAACATTGGTACAAATCCCTTTCCTTCCCCAGCCCCGTGCTGGGGACACAGCAGAGACTGAGGCAGTGCTGGCCCTCCCCTTCCAAGGCTCGCATCCAGTAGGGGAGACAGATCTGTCCCCAGAGTGGGTAGGGCTGAGTGGCGGAGCCCAGAGAGCTCCTGGAGGGGAGCCAGGGAGGGCTTCCTGGAGGAGGGGACATCTGAGACTGGGAAGAGAACCGAGAATTATGCAAAAGCAGGAGGGAGTGGCTGGTGGGGATATCCTGCCATGTTTGAGGAGCTGTGATATATTTGGTCTGTCTGGATTATACATATAGTTTATTTTATATTGTTTTGTTTCTGAGGGTGGGAATGTTACATGTGGGAGATGAAGCCAGGAAAGACAGTGGAGACCAGTTTAGGGGGGTCTAGAGAGCCATGTAAAGGAGGCTGACTTTATCCTAAGGACCCTGGAGAGCTACAGAGGCCCTCTGAGCAGAGGAGAGACAGGGTGACAGTTTTGGAAGCACTCTGCCCGGGGATGGGGTCCTTCCCACCCACCATGGGGTGGAGGCCAGCCTGGGGGCCGGGAGCCCAACAAGGAGCTGGGTGTGGGCACCTGGGAATAAATGAACCACCGGGACTGGATATGCCAGCCACTGAGAAGAGGAAAAGCAGATTTGGGGTGAGTGCTGATGTACTCAGAATCTGTGGGCTGAGTCTGGGGGGCTCCAGAGAAGTCTGGGTGCGACGAGTGATTGGGGGGGGTGAGGTGTGTGTGGCTGATAGGGAGAAGAGGAAGGTAAGCCACCCACTGGGACCTCTGGCTTACCAGCATTGTGACTGGGGTGGGCCTCCGGCTTCTCTGTGGGTGTCATCCTGAGGACATATGGAGAGAACAGTATTAGGGTAGTAAGCTGCTCAGGTGGATGGAGAGAAACTCAGAGAACCTGGAAAGCCCATCAGTTCATCAGAGAGAGAGAGATGATCTCTGCTTTAGCATGAGCTAGGACAAGGTCTCCCTTATCCCCACCTCTTTTCTCATAATCTCCAGCCACTGAGCCCTTCCTTAGTTTCCCCAGCCACCACCGTATGCCAATGAGTAATGTTTCCCTAATGTCACAATTTAGGCAGACCTTCTAAATGATTATGCTCCTCCCACCTGTTTCACAATTTCCTTGATAATTCTCTTTGAATCAGCTCAACTGAATACTTTTATTTTAAAAATACACTTGGCATCCCTGCAGCAAATTCATTAATTCATTAATTCACTAAACACATTTTTACAGAACGAGGGCCATGGGCTGGGTCCTTCTGAAGCCACTGGGGACACAGCGGGGAACAAGACAGACAAAGACCCCTGGCCCCTTGGAGTGGGGGTCTCTAGGAGAGAGAGAGAGAAAGAGAGAAGTCCAAAAAAATGACTGGCAGTAGAATCTCAGGGAATGAAAAGTGCTAAAGAAAATGAAGATGGAAAGAGGCAGAGGGTGGAGGGGTGTGTGTGTGTGTGTGTGTGTGTGTGTGTGTGTGTATGTGTGCAGTTTCGAGTAGAATGGTATTGGCGGGGGGCTCATGGAGAAGGCGACATTTGAACAAAGGTCTGAGGTAGGCATGTGGACCAGCTTTGCGGAAATCATGGGAAAAGAGCTCTTACAGCCTGTGCAAAGGCCCTGGGGCAGGAGCAGGAACAACAAAGAGACGAATATGGCTGGGGCAGAGAATGTGGGGGAGGAAGGGGGGAAGGGTGAGGCCGGGGGCGGGCAGCAGGTCAAGCTAGGTCTTGTGTCCATAGTGAGGACTTTGGCCTCGACTCTGAGGGACTCAAGCTGACTGATTTTCACAGGATATTTCTGGCTGCTGAGTGGGAAACAGACTGTGTGGGCAAGAGCAGAAATGGGAGACAGTCAGAAACTGCCATATTATAATGAAACCAGACATAAGTAGAAAGTGATGGGGGAAATGAAGAAAAGCCAAACAATGGGTTAAATCTGTGGTTTGATAGGGTTCTTGGTTTTCTCTTGGGAAAAGCTAGCAAGTGTTAGAAGGGCGTTAAAGCTGACTAGAACCAGATTGAGATATTCTCTTGCCACAGTCAGAATGCTACAAAGAGAACAGGAAAAGGAATTTCTCTGTGAAAATATTTCAGATTTATAGAAAAGTTGCAAAAATGGTACAAAGAACATCTGTGTAATTTTTACTCACATCAGCCTATTGTTTTTATTCCTTTTGTTTCAGCATCTGCTTTCTCTCTCCTTCTGTGTCTCCTGTGCATATTTTGTTTTCCTGAACCATCTGAGGATAAGGGTCAAGCATCATGGCCCTTCACTTGTAAATACTTCCAGGTATTGAACTATTTTCATTTTGCATTTTTTTTTAAACACTATAGCCCAGAATTCCATGTCAAGTTGCCCTTTTCAGGGCAGTTCTTTGAGGATCTGTGAGATTCTCTGAGAATCGCTGGCAGTAGCGGAAGGAAAGCCTGTCAGAGGGTCTGGACATGTGGACTCCAGTTTTGGTTCTAGAGCTTACCAGTCACTCAGGTGTGGGTTCCCATCTCAGGGACCTGCTGCCACTCACAGGCCAGTCCTATGCCATTTGGCAAATGACTTCATGTCTCTAAGCCTTAGTTGTCTCTAGAGACGATGGCAAACCACCCACTGAGGGCCAAATCGCTTGCTGGGGAATGGCAGGAAAAAGATGTGACCACCGATTGAGCTGTGAACCGGACACGGGCACTTGGAGTCTTCTCACTTCCCTCCCGTGTCCTTGCAATGTAGGTGCTACCTGCCTTTCCTGCTCCCAGAGGCTGCTCCAAGGACGCGCCCTTGAGATGGTGTATAATGCTGAGAACACCGGCGGGGTGTGTCTGGCTGAGTCCACTTGGGGCCTCTTTATAAATCTGTAAGATTTGGAGGGTGAGTGTGGGGGGATCCATTCATCTTGCTGCCGCCTGAGACAAGCTTCCTGCTTAAGTTCCTTTTGTTTATTGAAAGGGCCAACTGCCAACCTGGAGGGGCCTGCCTCTTTCCTTGGTCTCTCCCTCCTCTCTGTGTTTGGGGGCTGGTTTCAGGCTACACCTGGTTTTAGGCTAACGGGAGGGTTATGGACCAGCATCGCCTCTTTTCATACCACGAGTGAGCTAAGAAGGAGTGGGGGTGGTTAGCAGGGATAGCTTAGGTGCCTCCAATAGCCATGTTACAACTGTGGCAGACATGGTTAATCAATCACAGCATCTGTTCCTATACACTCAGACACCACCTCCAACTCCTGTGGCAGACATGATAAATCAATCACAGCATCCGTTCCCATTGCCCTGAGACACCATCTCCAACCCCTTTCCACCAAGCTCTCTATGGCACCCAGAAGGAGGTGAAAGCTATTTGCCACCCCTAAATGGGAGTGTGTTGGGAGAAAGACAAGTAAGTGGAAGGATGGAGATCTGGAGATCACAGCACCTAAGGGAGAGAATAGGAAGAGGGATTTCTCTTTGGAAATATTTCAAACTTATAGAAAAGTTGCAAAAGTGAAGGAGGAGGTGGGGGAGAAAAGGTGGCTGCCTTCATTTCCTGGGGATTAGGGAGAGCAGAAAAACTACACATTTCCAAGCGGCTCAGAACCCAAGTCAGGAGACAAAGTTCTGAACAGGCTGATCTCACGAGGAAGGAATTTTTCATGAATAGACTGTTTCCTGGAAAAATAGGCCCTTGACTCTCTCCCCCATACAGAAGTAGGCACCATCTGATGCCTTTGCCAGCCCACCATCCACTCTGCTTCTTTGGCACTAGCGTCTTTTTGTGTGTGTGTGTGGAAAGCCCCTCCCCCCTATGAATCCATTTAGTCACGTGGAGCTGGGTTGTTCTCTGACTCCGGAGCGATGCAAATAGCCCAGGTTTGGCCAATCAGGGTATTCCAGCACCTGGCCACAGTGATTGGTCCACATGAGGACATGTGATTTGAGTTAAGCCAGTGAGAAGCAGCTCTGGGGCTTTTGCTGGAGGCATCAGGAGCCAGGTGCAGTCTTCTCTCTGTGACCGCTGAACTGGTGGGATATAACCCTGGAGCCCCTGGGAGCTATCTTATCACACCACAAGGGCAGGTCCTGTCTGAGAATGAAGCCACCAAGGAGAAAAGCAGAGTTGAGAGGTATATGGGGGAGTCTCTTGACAAAATCAAGTCCCCGGATCCAGCCATATCTGAAGCTCATGAAAGACCAAAAAAACTTTCTAATTTTTTTAAGGCCATTCAAAGTTAGGATGTCTGTCCCTCGAATTCTGTCTCATACAAGATAGAAAGGCCCTTTTCACCTCAAGAGTTCCAAGATTTGATGAGATTGTGTATGAGTCAGAGGACGTGACTCAGGGAAGAATCAATCAATCAAGGAGTGGGGAAGAAGACAGAGGGAAGGAGAGAGAGACCTGGGGCCCCTGTACCTGTGGCTCTGGCCCTTCCAGCCTCTTGTTAACAGGAGATGGGCAATGCACCCGACGAAGAGGGACCCGGCAGCAAGGGACCCAATTATAAGGGCAGCCATGATCCCAGCACTCACGGGCAGGTGTGTTATGGGCAGCTCCTTAAGCTCTTCTGAGGGGCATGAGAAAGAAAGAGAGGTCTGTGAGATGTTCTAGGAGGGTCTCCCCACTCCCCCTGCCCCTGCATCAGTGACTGTCCATAGAGCTCTGATGTCCAGTTTCCCTTCCCCAGCCCAGAGCTTTCTCCTGATTTTCAGAGCTGAGCATCCACTATCTGGTTGATTCTGCACATAAAACTCAACGTCCCTGGAAGGAATTCCTTGGCTCACCCCACCTCAAAATCTTTGCTTCCCTAAGATTTCCTACCATATTTGGCACATCTGAAACCTACCTCCCGACACACTCCCCCACCTCACCCCATCTACCTGCTTTTTCTCGCCTCAGTTGGTTGGCACCTCTATCCTTCTAGGGAAAGAATGCAGTTCTGGGTCCTCATAGGGTCTGGAGGCACGGGGTTCTCAAACACTACCTGCCAGGTTTGGGACAAAGCCTACCTGACTTCCTACCCCCACCATGAGGACCTCTAGCTTGACTATCAAGCAGAACACCTGTTATATCCCCAGCCCTTCTTGTCAGCTAAGCTCGTAGACTCTGAGGTCAGAATGCTGGGGTTCACGTCCCTGGGCAGATTACTCAATCTCTGTGTCTCTTCCCATTTGTGAAATGGGGACAATAGGAGTGTCTACCTTGTAGGGTTGTGAAGACTGAATGAGTTTGCACACACACACACACACACACGCACACACGCACGCACACAGTTCCTTTAACTATCCAAGAATGTAGGATCTGTGCCATTTTAAAGATGAGTAAACTGAGGCACAGAGAGGTAAGCTAACCTGGCCAAGGGATCACAGTAGGTGCAGTACTGGCATTACATGTGGGCCACCTGAGCTTCTAATGACCACTCTGTGTGGCTTCCAAAGGAGGGGCCTGTGTCCCAGGAGCCCTTGAAGGATGGGAAGGAACTGTATCGGGTTTTGCATGACTGGAGTGAAGACCATTAAATCCAAAGGGACTAGAGTGTCACCATATATACATATGGATGGATATATATATATATATATATATATATATATATTTCTGTGTGTAATTAAATTAATCAATATTTGTCTATTTCATCCATTTCCCTAAAAGTTCATCAGTTCAAAGTGTCTGAAACCCATTTTAAAATGTACTCTTCTCACTGGGAGAAAGAGGATAGGCTGTGTCTGGGCATATGTGGTTGTTGCTCCCACAACCCGGGGAGATGGCTAAGTCAGGCCCATTTTGCAGATGTGTGCACCAAGGCCCAGAGAGGTTGCATTTGGGCAGAGGATAGAAGGCAGCCCCTCTTTCAGACACTGGAACTTAGCAACTTTTGCACCTTCTACCTTTTAATTGATTATTAATTTATTTTTTAGGTAGGCTTCCCACCCAACATGGGGCTTGAAGTCAAGACCCAGAGATCAAGAGTCACATGCTTTATCGACTGAGCCAGCCAGGTGCCCCCACCTTCTAGGTTTTTGAATCCCTGCAACAGTAAGTGGAAATTCAGTGGCTTCTATGAGTCACTCAGGAGGTGGGGCGGGGTGGAGACTAGATGGGCTGAGTCAAGGAGCTCCCCCACTTCCTGCCCTCCCCATCCCAACCCTGTTGCCCAGTCTTCTTACAGCATCCAGAGCCCCTTCCCCAGGATCTGCTTGCGCTGGCCCCTGCTGCCCTGTCCACCCACAAAGTTCCATCACCCACAGCTCCCTTCCTTACCCTCTGGGCTGCCCAGCCTTTGCCCATGCTGTCCCCTCTGCCTGGCACGCTTTTCTCCACACACAATACATAACTCCTGATCACTTTTCCATTCCTGGTCCCTCTGCAAGCCTTCTCTGACAACCCCAGGCCAAGGAGACTCCTGATACGCTTTTCCGTTGATTCACGTTGGTAGATGGGACAAGAAGGAATACTTCAGGGGCGCCTGGGTGGGTCAGTCGGCTAAGTGCTGGCTCTTGATTTTGACTCAGGTCAGGATCCCAGGGTCATGAGATCGAGCCCCGTGTTGGGCTCCCCGCTCAGCACGGGGTCTGCTTGAGATTCTCTCTCTCCCTCTTCCTCTGCCCCTCACCCTGCTTGCACACATGAATGCATGCTCTCTCTTGAATAAATAAATAAATAGATGAGAGAAAGAAAGAAAGAAAGAAAGAAAGAAAGAAAGAAAGAAAGAAAGAAAGAAAGAAAGGAAGAAAGGAAGAAAGGAAGGAAGGAAGAAAGAAAGGAAGGAAGAAAGAAAGAAAGAAAAAGAAAGAAAGAAACTAACTTCACCTACCTCCATTCTGACCTCAGTCTGTGCTTGGGAATTGATGAAGTTCTTTCCAGCTTGTCTCTCATGGAAAAGACCCACCCAAGGCATCCTGTGATGGGAACGGAAACTACTCCCTCAAGCAGTAGGGACTGCTCTGAGCCAGTAAGACCCCCTTCCCGACTAACCCCAAGACAATGACTTGACCTTCACTGCCCACTGACCTTTGTCCCACATTTTTTCTTCTATAAACCTAGAAGTGTTTTCAGCACTTGGAGACCGTCTTTGAGATGCTTGTCTGCCGTCTTCCTGGGGCTGGCTTCACTGAAATAAATGCCTTTCTTGTTTCACTACCCTTCCTCGCTCTGCCTTTGGGTTTTTGTCAGTGAGTGGCCAAACCTGGTCTGTTTGGGATCCCCGGAGCCAAGTGCTCCTGCACCCCTGCGCCCCAGCTACAGACATGTAGGTGTGTCCTCAGCTCACTCCATCCCTCCACCACTGTGAAGCCTCCAAGCCTTCCGGAGGGATGGATCCCGCCTCCAGGTCTGGGTGGGCTCCCTTGGCTTATTCCCTTGTTACAATGACTGCATCAGGAAGGGCTGCTGTTCAGACCTAAGCCAATAAGTGCTCTGCATTCCTTCGGCCTTCCTGATTGGTCCAGGTAGGTCCAATCAGAGTGAAGTGAAGGGGTGTGGTTCAGAGGGGGCTGCTAGGGGAAGGGATCCCTTGTTCTGGAAGCTGGAGACTTGGGAACCTTATGGTCATCTTGCTCCCTTGAAGGCATTAATCATGTCTCCTACCCCTTGGAAGGAGAACCCTGAACTTGAGCGGGGCAGAAATAAAGACATTTCCCAGCCTCCTTTGCAGCCTCCATACATGGACAGCTAGCTCATTCAAAAGTGCCTTAGAGCACGGTGTTGAACATCGGTGCTAACATTAGAACCCCAGGCAAGTTCACATACAACATTCTGTGTCTGAATTTCCCCATTATATAAGGATACCAGTCATACTGGATGAGGGTAAGCCTAGTGATCTCATTTTAACCTGATTACCTCTATAAAGATGCTATTTCTAAGTAAGGCTATATTCTGATGTACTGGGGATCAAAAAAGTCAGTGTCTTTTTTGAGGGGACAGCATTTAACATGCAATACCTGCCAAGCTTGGTTCCCTGCTATCCTGAGGCATCTTTGAGCTGCTCAGAATCCTTGAATCTATTTCTTTTCTGCTTAAATCAGCTAGAAGCGGTTTCTGTTGCTGTAGCAAGAACCCTTCCAGAACCACAGGATTAAGTGTCCCCTCTTTAGAACTTGTTATATTTTCTGCTTTTTATCATAGGCAGTGAGCTTAAGAGAGGGAGCCTGTGAATCACTGTCTTTTTCAAAGTCGTTGTGGAAGGATCTCTTCTGTGATACCATCTCTTATCTGGTGGAAGGATCTAATACCCCTCCCTTGAATCTTGGCTAATCTTAGCCGCTCATGTTGTAATCAAAAGAATACAATGTAAGCGATGCTGTATGACTTCCAAGGCTAGGTCAGAAGAAGCCATGGCGTTTCTGCCTTGGTCTTTTAGAGGAACACTTGCTCTCCACTTGGTCTCCCCAAGAACCCAGTCTCCATGTCGTGGGGAAGCCCAAGCAGTCACATTGGAGAAACCAAATAATAAAGATCTGGTGGATAGCCCCAGCTAAGTTTCCAGCTGATGGCCAGGGCGAGCCTCCACATATCTGAGTGAACACACCTCTGGATGATTCCATCCTCCAGCATTTCAGCCAGGCTCAGCCTTTTGAGGCTTGTCATCTGAGGCCCCTGACATCATGAAGCAGACAGACCACCTCTGCTTGCCCTGGCTGAATTCCTGATCCCAGCAATCATGAACATCATAAAATGGTTGTTCTATACAACTGATTTGTTCTGCACCAAGAAGTAACTAGAACAGGGGCGCCTGGATGGCTCAGTTGTTTGGGCAACAGCCTTCAGCTCGGGTCATGATCCTGGAGTCTCAGGATCAAGTCCTGCCTTGGGCTCCCCGCTCGGCGGGGAGTCTGCTTCTCCCTCTGACCTCTGCCCTCTCCCACACTCTCTCTCTGTCTCTCTATATCTATCTCATTCTCTCAAAGAAATAAATAAAATCTTAAAAAAAAAAACCAAAAAACAAGTAACTAGAACAGAGCCTCCCTCTTCTGTTTCTTCTTCCAGGATTGAAAGTTTTCTTTTTGGCTTTTTTCTTTTCCAATCAACTGGGACCATCTATCCTCAGTTCTACCAGCAAAGAATCATCTGGGTCTTCTTCTATGGACCAAAATTAACCATGTGTATCTTTTTAAAAATTTATTTATTTATTTATTTGACAGACAGAGATCACAAGTAGGCAGAGAGGCAGGCAGAGAGAGAGAGGGGGAAGCAGGCTCCTTACCAAGCAGAGAGCCTGATGTGGGGCTCGATCCCAGGATCCTGAAATCATGACCTGAGCCAAAGGCAGAGGATTTAACCCACTGAGTCACCCAGGTGCCCCTAACTGTGTTTATTTTTGAGTAGATACAAACACATTTGGAAAAGTGCTTTGAGAGACCATTAGAAAAGCAGACACAGTTCAGACCACACATGAAAATAGAATTCCAAACTACAACCTGCATCAAGGACCAACCTACGTAGAAGACCAGTCCTCTTACAAACAGCCCACGATGACGGCCTGCTTTGAGTCACACTTGCGGAAAGCCAGATTGCTATCTCCAGTGACAATCCAGGAAGACAAATAGTAACTTCTATAAGAATTGACCCTAAATGGCCAGGACTTGATTAATGACCAAGAGCTTCCCTGATTTTTGTCCCTGCTTCTAAGTTAGGACCAGCTCCTAAGAAAGCCAGATATATACCCTAACCAGGGGCCTCCAGCATCCCTGTGCCAACAACCATCAATCAGGGCACAGCTGAAGCCTTCTCTTTCTTCCACTACGAAGCTTTCCCATCCCTCGGCCTGCCTTTGAGTCTCTGCCCAATTGCAAGTGACAGGAGCCAACTCCCTTATTCCAGCCAGCTCTGAGTAAATGGCCTTTGCTTTTCCCATTGGCTGGGCTTGGGGTTTCCACAACTTCACGTGAATTTGCCAGCCAGTCCTCACGACAATCCATGGTGAGAGGTGTGATTGCCACCATTTTAGTATTTAGGGGGTGCAGAACAGAGGCTCTGAAAGGTGTGGGCATTTGACTCAAGGTCATATAAACCCATGACGCCAGTCAGTTAGTGG